ATATAGTACTAATTGAAACGTCCAGTAACAGTTCAATGGCGTGCATCGATGACGCGCTAAATCCTCTGCAACAGCTCTTTTTCTTTCATTTATATCGGATATGCTGTTTACCACTATGACTAGGATCGTTTGAGCGAGAATGGTTCTTAGGAGTTTATTTGCAGGCAAGTTTTGCAAGCGACTTCAGTCTTTCTCCTGTCCCGTTGTGCGGTAACCAGGCCCAGGGCAACATTCTAGATAGTATGTCCTGTTTCCTGGGACAGGCGGTATCTGAAAGAAGAAATATGGGAATTAGTTCATATGAAATTATTACATTATATTAAAATAAAACGACGAAAGGAAACTTTTGGCTGATGAGAATTTCGCTTTCGAACGAATAATAACACGCTCTTTATATATTTAAGTTGCAAAAATGTTTTATTTCTCTCATTTAGTCATATGCTATATATGTACATACACAAACCAGCTCCCTTTATCGTTTACTTAGTTATTACCTTCGCCACAATCGTTTACATTGTAACTTAATAAGCTTCCATAATGATTAGAATAAATAGCAATATGAATAATAATTAGTAATAGTAATAGTAGTAGTAGTAGTAGTAGTAGTAATTGTTGTTGTTGTTGTTGTTGTTGTTGTTGTAGTAGTAGTAGTAGTAGTAGTAGTAGTAGTAGTAGTAGTAGTAGTAAGAGTAGTGGTAGTGGTAGTGGTAGTGGTAGTGGTGGTGGTGGTAGTGGTAGTGGTAGTGGTAGTGGTAGTGGTGGTAGTAGTAGTAGTAGTATTAGTAGTTATATATATCTGAATCATTCAGTTATATTGCCAGTATGCTGCTGTTTGTTACATACACTCCATACTGACTAGTATAACCATAGTTCAACAACAAATCAATTGATATTAACAAATTAGTAATTCAACTGATCTTCAATTTCACAATAAGTTATTTACATGATAATTATACGCTGAAAAAAACACCCATTTGTGTACACATTTGAACTCATTAAATTACATAACGATATAACTTCGGCAACATTGCATCATAACGCCTTAAACGATAAGTACTATTCATACAATTCCAAACAGGACATGCTGGCCCTAATGCGACACACTTCAGCATATAGACCAGAACAGAAAGTGTCCTATGGTACAGTTATTAATCAACAGAACAAACAAAAAAAAGACCTTTGTAAGGTAGCATTTTTTTGACCAGGCAGAGAGTACGTCTGACCGCTTTAGTTGGTCGCCGAAATTGGCGTCCTCCTCATATGTGTCCGTGCCGATGAAAAAAATCAATGCAAGAACGCATTGCAACGCAGTAAAAAGACATAAGACTAGATATGTTTAAATTGACTAGCTAGAAAAGAGGGTAAAAGCACCATACGCGTTGAAGTGAGAAACACTACGTTTCCGATATCGGTTTATATGTAAAAGCAACCAATCATAACAAAAGCTGTAATGAACCTTCATATAGTTATACAATGGTTTTAGCGAGCTGGAGAGTATTTGTCGCAACGTTTAATAATAGTTACGTATTGGTTTAATACTCTACTTTTTGCAATTTTCTTGAATGCCAAGTGTTTACGAGGCACAAAACTATACGGCGGCCATTCATCTAGCTGGAATCTGTTCGCGCGCCGCTTGTCGACAGCTGAGTAGCCGTGTTTTCTCTACTGTTATCTAGACGATTGACATTTGTTTGTTGTGAGTTTAGAACACACGCTTCGCCTTAGGTAGCTACCTACTTATAAAATTGTAATAGTTTAATTTAATAGGTAAATGTCCTTCTGGTAACGACTAAAACAGTAACTTCAACAGAACAAAATGGCCACTTTGACATACTTAATCGAATACACCTAAGTGTAAATAAAGAATAATAGGTAAATGTATGAGATCATTCGTTACCGAATCAAAACTAAACCGATTTCATTAAAAAACGCAACTTAAGATCCGCTCATAAAATAAATTCAACCGATAACTACGGAAAATTTGCGCCAGCGTTCACGTGGTGCACTCTTTGCAAAGGAAACGCTTCCGTTCTGAAGCTATATACCTGCAAAGATGCTAGAACGAGAGCTTCCAGCATACGGAGTTACGATCTAGAGACATGATCATGCTGCCCTCCTTATTGAAACATTTCTCTCTCATCATTATTCTACTGACATTCTCACTGTGATTTAGAACAGCTCATCGAGATGGCACACATGCCGAGATCATAACTTAAAATCGGATTTGCTATAGTCTGTAAAAACTGAAGACGTCCGAGTGCGGCGCGGCCGATTGTTATGACTAACTACTACATCATTGACGATCTTTCTTGAAGAACAGCCTTCCTGCCTTTTTTTCTGACGAATTCCTATAAAGGTAGCATTTTAGTTCAGCCGAACCTGACCTTAAAGCCCTTCCTAAACGAGAAGTCGCACTCTACTGACAATTCGGCTGCTTAAGAGCATCACCATCTAAAACACCCTAACCGACAGCCTCGTACTGTTATTCTGATGCTGCACGCAAAGGTAGTTGCTAGGTCTATTTCAGTCGGTAGATGTTATCTTCTGTGAAATGTGTGTTCTTCATGTGACCCTTTAAGTCGATGTAGCGATGGAATCGCTCAGGGCACATCGTACATCGAAAGGGTTGCTCGGGTCCCGCGTGAGATTTTAGGTGGCCGTTCATGTTTGAGCGATCGCTGAACCGGCGTTTACAGATCGGACATTCGTACGGCTGTAATAAGGTCATGATACGAAACACACGAACAACAAGTTGGTCGGTTTTAGCACAACGGAAAGTGTCAAAATAGGCAAGGGATGTATGTGTCTATCTATGTGTCGAAAGAATCCCCGGTACACATTTAGATTATGCGACCGCACCAGCTTCTAAGAAACGGCAGTATTATCATTTCCAAACAAAATTTGACATTTAAAGGTTTCCGCATTCTTCAGTGAAGAAGGAAAAGAACCTAAAAAAATCCATCGATAAATGGGCTAACGTGAAAAATCTAATCGAGTACAGCCGAAGTTTGCAACGTACCTTTTCACCGGTGTGAATTCGTAGATGGACTTTTAGATTGAATCGAGTACTGAAGCTTTTTCCACAATAAGTGCACGATAATCCCAAACTAGAGACAGCCACTTCGGGTAGGATTGGTTCGCCGGCAAGCCCGTCAACAGGACCGCCCATTTCCTGTATGAGTCCCCACACGGCGCTCTTGTCGTCCTGAAGCTCTTCTTCGTCCAAAACCACCACCTCCACTACTCCGTAAAAACGCGTAACGCGTTTCGGAGCAGATGTCCAGTCCCAAGTTAAGCAGCATGAAGCAATATATACATATATATATATATATA